GAGAACTGGGGAGAAGGAACAAGAAGATGTCGCAGCCCCAACGCCTCCGGCGCGGAAGCTACGAGCCACTAGAACCAAACCCGACCCATCACCACCGCAACACCAAGGAGGCCGTCGATCGAAAACCAGAGCCGGAACCTGCAAAAGAATTCGACCCGACCATGGAAGATCCACCACCGTTGGAGCTCGAAGGCGTGAGGAGACGCGACATCAATATGATGGCCTAGCGACCAGGGGTCGACCACCGGCGAAGCCCAGTCGCCGCTCTGGAAGGCAGAAAATGGAGAGGACGACGAATAAGCGAGAGAGTATACATGTTACTTCAAACCTGTTAATATATTTTTATATTTTATAATTAATTTTATATAATTTTTTTTGTTTTTTTATTGTATAATTAATGTAATACATAATGCATATTTTTCGTTCATTCATTAAGCATACTTAGGTAATAAGAAACGCATATTTAGTTCATCATAGCGCAATTTAGTTCATGTGAGGTCTAGTCAGATATTTATTTGTGTAGATCAATGACATATATTAATCAATTAAAATTTACATTAATTATATAATAAAAAATAATAATTATTATATTTAAATTAATATATATATATATATATATATATAATGCACATTTAGTTAGATATTTTGACTGTACATTTAGTTCAAGAAAAATGCAAATTTAGTTCATACGTAGTGCATATTTAGTTCATCATAGTGCATATGTAGTTCATGTAAGGTCTAATCATATCTATTTATTTGTTTAGATTAATGAAATATATTAATCAATTAAAATTTACATTAAATATATAATAAAAAATAATAATTATTATATTTGAATTGAAATATATATATATATATATATATATATAATGCACATTTAATTAGATATTTTGACTGTACATTTAGTTCAGGAAAAATGCAAATTTAGTTCATACGTAATGCATCTATTTATTTGTTTAGATCAATGACCCATATTAAACAATTGAAATTTGCAAGATTTATATAATAAATAATAATAATAATTTTTATATTTAAATTAATTATATAAAATGCACATTTAATTGCATATTTTCGCTGCACATTTAGTTTTAAGCAAAATACACATTTACGATGTGCATATTTAGTTCATAAAAATGCATATTTAGTTGATATTATTGGTTCGCATTTAATCATAAATATGGTATCTTAAATTCATGCTAAATGCATATTTAATTCATATCAATTGCATATTCCGACAAAACTCACCATTGATACGACATGCTATTTTTTCCTTTTATTCCTTTTCAGGATCAGTCGCGGTCTTTCAAACTTTACCAACGGTATGGACGAATTCCTCACTTCATCCAAATGTATAAAAGATTCTAGCCGCACTTAAAAGCCGAGTACTCTGCCGTTGAGTTAGCAACCCGAAGAAAATAGAGATTAAACAAAACTTCCACGAAAGAGCGTATAGATACAATCAAAATCCATTCAATTTAAACAAAGAGTATACGGGCCAATCAAACCATTGAACTAACAAATTTACAAAAAACAGATTTCCTAAAGGATTCGAAACATAAAAGAAAAATGATTAGATGAAAATACAATAAATTTTCAGATAAAAGAAAAAAATATACAGAATGCTAGAAATTGATAGAGCGCGCACCTCTTGTGTTATCTAACAAAAACCTCTTGTAGCAAAGAAAGTATTCTTTTGGGTTTGAATAAAGTCAAAAACCTATAGGACAGAACTCAAAAACCCAGTTCGCTTATTATGATGAATTATATTTGTTCGATAGACTGTTGTCAATATAAATGTTGAGAAAAAAATACAGCAGACAAAACAAAGGGGGGGGATCAAAAAACAAGTACAAGTAGAGACAAATTCTACAAAGTTATATACAAGTTTCTACCCCCCCCCCTTNANANNNC